AAATTCAGGAAGGACACTGAAAGAACTGTTTAACAGTGATTATACTGGAGCATAAGAAATGTTTTTGGGGAAAGTTGGCGAGAAACAGTGCTTTCACTTTTTAATTTATAACTTTTCATAGGTTTAAATTTTAAATAAGCAGTTACTTGTACAATTATCCTACATATTTTGCTGCAAAAATATTTTAAAGGATTTAAGTAACTAGTACAAGTCGACAAGTTAAAAACTGATGCACAATGAGATACCACTACTATCAGAATGTCTAAAATTAAAATGACCATGTGTTGACAAAGACATAGAGTAACTAGAACCCTCATACACTGCTTGTGGGAATGTAAAATGTGTAACTACACTGGAAACAGCTTGGCAGTTTCTTAAAGTTGAACATAAACCTACTGTACCGCTCAGTCATTTCACTACAAGGTGCTAAACCAAGAGAAATGAAAGCATATGTTCACACAAAGACTTCTACATGAATATTCATAGTAGTTTTATTTGTAAGGGAAAAAAAAAGGGTAATTGGAAAAAAAACAGGAAATGACCTAAATGTTCATCAGAAAGTGAAAGAATAAACAAATTGTGGTATATCCATGTAGTGGAATATTTCTCAGCAAGAGAAAGGAACAAGGTATTGATAAACGCAACAACATGGATAAATCTCCAAATAATGATTCTGGGTGTAAGATGCCTGAGGAAAAAGATACTGTCTGATTCCATTTATATAAAATTCTGGAAAACGCAAATTAATCTATCATGTCAAAAGGAGATCAGTGACTTTCTGGGGATGGGAAGGGATGTGGAGAGGACTGACAGGGAGAGATTATTATAAAGGGACACCAGTGAACTTTTGGGGGTGATGGATATGTTTGTTACCTTTTTGGTGGTAATGACTTCTCTGTTGTATTCATATTCTACAACATATAAAATTGTGAATTTTGAGGGAAAACAAAGTTGATGGATGGTGGATTTTGAACCTAGGTCTGATCCTAGATTCATCATGCTTATTCCATCCTGGAGCTCAAAAATTTTCTTGCATATGATTACCATGAATGGACATCGAATAGGCACTTTACCATTCATTATATTTATCTTTTTTCTTAAAAGATTTTAGTAACATGAATTCTTCATTTCTTGCTACCATCACATAATTTAAATATGTGACATTATTATTTATGTGTCCACTATATTACATTTAATAACTGAAAATACCAAAGCCCTTTTGGCTCTAGGTAAACTGACTAGTACAGTATCTGACATAGTCAGTATTAACTGTATCTACCTTTTACATTTAAGATCCTAAGGAACTCTTTTGTTGAGGATTTAGTCCAGTTGGTATCCAATGTGCACATAAATATTTATCAGTGGCATTTTTCACAGGACAATTCTTCCTTGTGCAGGACTGGTCTATGCATAGCAAGTATTTAAAATCCTTGACCTTTACCCACTATATGCTGGCAGTTATTTTACTTTCTTACTTGACAAGTGAATGTGATATCCCAAAATACTTCCTTGGTTAAGAACCACTATAAGATGTCCTACTTTGATAGGCACAGGCAAGAGTGCCTCAGTTATTCCAGAATGCTAGCAGCATTAGGGAACCACCAGCCTGCTTCAGATAACACAGCAGTTCCAGTGATTATAGAAAAATTATAAACTACTTGGTATAATAGTATTCTCTTGTAAACACCATTGCTTCTGAAGGCAAACTCAGGTTCATTTTAAATATTCTTTCCCTCAAAAAAAGGAAAGAAATCTCTCAATTCTGGCATAGGAAGAACAGAATAAAAGAAATTAAAGAAATTAAAGGCCCACTTGTTCTTCCCATTTTCACTCTCATCCACTTCTAATTGTAAGAGAAATGAGATTAATGAAAATATTTTAATACCTTTTCAATATATGTCTGATTTGAAAAATTGTTTGAAGTTTCAAATAAATTATAGAGTATTTCAGTTTTAGGCCCCACCCTACTACTATTAACCTAGCTGTATGATCTTGACAAGTTCTAGCTTCTCAAGACTTTTAAGTTGCTTTCCAGTTCTAAAATTCTAACCATGCCAAGCCTCCAAAATTATATTAAATCATTCCCAAAACATTGAATGTCTTCCAACAAATCTGATCGTCGATGAGTTTAAACAGTCAAGAAGTTGCAGAATTCACAAATATCCTAAACATGATTTTTAACAGTTCCTACTTAATGACCAGATCACACACCCACCAATTAGAATTGTGAGGAACTGCCAATGTAACACAGATCCACAGTCCAAATGAAAAAAGGAGCATTTGTTTCTTTGCACCCTCAGAAAATCACCCCACACGTCACACCTCACACTGAAGAGCTATTCAGAAGAAACAATGAAGTCTCCATGAAAACGCATTATCTTAGTTTCCTTTTCAAAACAGAAATTCCCCTTCCTTATAATGACTGAATTGACATCTTACCAAACAAGTTCTTATCAGGAATAAGATGTAGCAACAACACCCTCAAAAAATATACAATTCTGTAGTCAAACCAGGGATACATAATTTCAGTAATGCTTTCATGTAACAGGCTCTTAACTGCAAGCTACCCTAGACAATGGACATCATTCACTTTCTGAAACACAGAGACCCAATGGGCCACTGAAAGTAAGACCTCCTCTAGATTGATTAGATGATTACAGGCAATTTTAAGTTGTATCTACTTGTGAGTTTGTCAATGGCATATTCACCATAAAGACAATCACAAGAAAAAGAATCTCCAAGGAAGGCAAAGGACTTGGTAATTCAGGGCACTAATAACTGATCTGAAAACTCAAATACTGAAAGATTCAAAACAGGCCAGTTTCAAAGTACTGCTTCTCCAACTTTACCTGTCTGAATTAAAAACCAGAGAAGAAACACACAAAAACCTAAACAAGCAAAAGCATTTCAAATGTTACCGCTCATTCTAAATAGAAAATCTCCTGAATGAATGAGGTTCTACATATTCAAACCTGAAGATGACAGATTTTCTGTAAGGTGACCAATAAATGGTGAGTTACTTATGATAATAAACCAGGCTGTTGTGGGAGGCCTGTCTTCAGAAAAAATATTCTTTGCTTTTCCTTTTAACTTTAATGAGATTTTTTTTTTTTTTTTACTATGTAACTACCAACATTTTGAACAAATTGATGCTCCCAACATAAACTTAGTACAAGAATTACATATTCTGCAAAAGCTGATGAAATGAAAGTTGCTGAAACATCATATGTATCATCAGGCCCAGTTATCTTTAGGTCTTTTTTAAGCAGTCAATTCTCGACTACTTATTAAACACAGGTTCACTCATTCGACAAGCATTTACTGACCATCTACCATGTGCCAGGCACTTTGCTAAACGTTAGGGATTCAGGTTAAAGTTTGCTTGGGTTGGGGACTCAGAAAAACCTATCAGATCCTGACGACCACTTAATGGCAAGCTTTTAAAATCGCTGAGCCTCAGTTTCTTCAGAAATGTGATAGACTATATAATGTAGACAAAGTGCCTAACATGGTATCTTGTATATGATAAACAATAAACGCTAACTATATCAAATATGAAGTTTGCGTTAGAAGCAGATCCTGATCTCAAGCCAGTTTTTTACTACATAGCTCACTGTTGGAGGATTATGAACCAACTTGAAAGTGAGATCAAGAAAACATGTCTGCACTGATAAATCCACTACCAAAACAAAAAACAATCCCCACAATACATAATGAATCCCAGAACTGAAAATAGATGTGCTTTGGGTTAGTTTACGAGTTTGTGTAGTATGTGCTCCAAGGTCTTCTTCCACTAAACAACCCAGTACACTATAAATAAAAATAACAAATGTTACAGCTTTGTGGCTTTATGCACAGTAGGATCATGAGGGAGTACAACTCAGGACCATTTTGGTGAAGCAGTAACTAATGTAACAGATTTGTAACCATTAACCACAGTTCTCTTCCTACACCTTCAGAAAGGTCACCCAATAGTAACCTCCTTTTCTTATAAGATAAATGTTTACCTTACGCATAGCAATTAGTTGATAAAACCAACAATTTTGAAACCCTGATTGGCAACAATGATCTAACAAACAGAAGCAGTACAGCTAAAGAGTTTAAGAGTGCTAGTGTCAACTGGGCCAGGTGTCCATCATTTCTAGCCAGTTACGTGACACTGGGCAAGTTTCTTAACTGTTCAAGCTTCTTAACTGTTCAAGCTTCAGTTTCTTTATCTGAAAAATGTAAATACCAGCTCCTACTTACTAGGCTTGTGAAAATGAATTAAGTTAATAGAAGCAAAATACTCAGACAAGCAACCACCCAAACAATGTTAGCTATTTGCTGTTACCTACAATGAGAAAACTAAAGTTCCTCTTGGTAACCATGAAGCTAATAAAAATGTAGACGTTTTAGGGTCTTATAAATCCTTAAACTTATGTTAGTTTGAAGTTAAGTGATCAAAAATTAATGAGGAACAAGAGGAAGGCAATAACGGGAATTAAGCACTAACACCTGATCCTCCCGTTCTACTTAACAGGCTTCATATGTTAAGTCCTAAATGTAGGCAGCATCGGCCTAACTAGGAACAACAATTTAATTCTGGAAGGGTTCAAGGCAAAGGAAGACTGCTAAAACAAATAATAATAATAATAACAACAATAACAATAAATAAAGGGAAAAGGGATTATGTAGACATGAACGAGGTGGCGGTAACCGGGCTGAAGAGGAAAAGGCCCCACCATCCCGGACACCGGGCTAGGGAACCAGGGTCCCCGTGGCTCCTCCCAGTGAGGAAGCAGAAGGCATTTAGCGTCACCGCTGAGGTGAGTCCCACCGTGACACCTCGACCCGAAGTCGGTCGTGGAGGGTCGCGCGTGCAGAGCCTTGAGAGCCAGTAGCGGGGGTCCAGACTTCCCGCGGGTGCCTCCCGGCCGAGCCCTTCCACCCGCGCCGCCTCCACTCGGAGGCCTTAGTCACTGTCCGCGCGGCCCAGAGGCCGCGGGCGAGCCGGTTACCTTCTGCAGGGAACTCCTCGAACTCGTCGTCCTCCTCCAGCAGACCCAAGTCTACCGGCTGTTTTTTCTCTGACATCGCGACCCTCCGCGGCCAAAACCTCTCAGTCCAGTAAGAAAGCTGGACCTCTCACTTCGCCTTACCACAGCCCCCACCGCCGCTGCAGCCTCCCAGGCCGGCTCTATCATAGAGACGCGGGAGAAGAGCAACCGGATAGCGCGAGGGATGCTGGGATACTGGAGGTCCGCCCAGCGCTTCCTGCGGGTTTAGCAGCCCTTCAGAGTTAGCAAGGTGGATTATTTTGTGCGTTTACCGTCTTACGCGGACCCTCTGACTTGACAAACTGAGAACAGGGTAGGTTTCCGTGACTGGAAAAGACTCATAACGTGTGGAAAAAACCCCTACCTTTACTTGGTTTAGGCTGAGGGATGAAGTACCGGCTAAAGTTCGTTAAAAGCCTGCCAAGTGCCAGGCCCTTAAATTAGATTAACTCCACCCTTAAACCAGTTCCCTAAACATGGTATTAAATGTCTCCACATCACTCAGAAAGAAATAGCCTACGTCACTGAGGTACTGCTAGACAACCCAAAAGCAGATTTGTTTGCCTGACTTTAATCTCCAAGCTTTTCCATTGTTCAGTGTTCTTCTGTCCCGCGGTTAAGCTGTGGTAAATAACCTGTTAAACATTGTGCTGCGTGTGTGTGTGTGTGTGTGTGTGTAATAACTAGTTTAGAGGTTATTATAATACTGTGTAAAACTCGATATATGTAACATTTTATGGTGTTCAAAATAATTCATTTTGAATATAGTTGTGAACTACATAAAACTTGACACGGTATATGTATATGTAGTATAATAGAGGAATAGTGTGTAATATATAGATACATAATTGGGTATTATTGTAAATTTTGATACATACGTTTGTATATTTAAATCCCATTCCTTCATTCAACAACATTAACTTATATCATGTACTAGGCACTGTGCTGAAAATCAAACATATGGAGACAAAGGCCTTCCTTCAAGGAGTTCATATTCCACTCAGAGACATGTAAACAGATAAATCACAATGAAACATAGTAACACATTTGAATCTCTATTTTAAAATAAAATTATCTGAGAAATGAACAGAGTGTATGGGCATACAGAGAATGAAGCAACTAAATAAGAGCACAAATTTGGGCCAGAATTTGGGAACATATAATTAGATGTAAATTTTAAAAAATAAGATGGTTCTTATACTATTTTGACTTGTACTGATTACTGAAAACATTAGCTGTCTTCAAATTAAGTTCAAAGTATGTGTAATTTGGCATGTTATATAAGTAAATACCAAATTAATGAAAGAAAAGATGAGGAAGATCTAAAACTGGAAGTAAATGTAGACAATGAGATCTCTTAGAGTTTCATACTCTCTATTATGCCCTCTATTGTACATATTACATATGCCGCTGACAACCCACACAGCAAGGTAAAGTTTTGGGCAGTTTGATTAGGCAGCAAAGAATAAAAAACAAATCACAGATCTGAGACAGCCATTTTGTGCAGAGATAAAAGATTTTCCCAAGGACATATCTGAAGAAACAGAAACATTAATGACTACTAGGAGATGGATAAGGGGTGATTTGCTAACTGCTAGTAGGTGGAAGGTTTCTTTGTGGAGTGATAAAAACCCTCTGGAACTGGATAGTGATGATGGTTGCAAAACATAGTGAATATACTAAAAACCACTGAAGTGTACACTTCAGAATGGTTAATTTTATGTTACATGAAGTACGTATATCTCAATTTTTGAAGTGCTAAAAAATTTTTGACCAAGACGTCAAGAATTTCAAATTCTAGTTTCTGGGCCTATTATATAATCTGATATGTGATGACGTTTGTATTAACTCTTAGCAAAAGAACAAAATCAGTGGCAGTATAATGATTTTCCCCTAAAACTGAATATATTCAATTAAAGGAATAATTTTAACATATTATTGACCCGGGGATTTTTGTAGAGACTAATGCCTGTGGCCAGCAATTTGTTATGTAAGTGAATATTGAAACACCCGTGTTTGAGTAAATATCAACAACTTTTTTTGCACTTAATGTATTTATTTGAAACTTAAACATGTCTTACTAAAGCATTCTAATATCTTGTTAGAGTGCCATAGGCAGTATAGCAGGCACCTCTGTGCAGGGGAACAGAACATCTATTACAAATATACTGTGTTTCACTGCGCTTTCCCCTGGAAGAGCAGACTCTACACTTTCTGGTGGCTTTTTTTTTTTTTTTTTTTTTTTTTTTCCTGAGTCTTTTTTTTTTTTTGTTTTTTTTTTTTTTTTTTTTTTTTTTAGTCCTGTGGGTGTTATTTCCTCTAGAATATGTTCTTTTATTTTATTTGATAGTCGACAAGGTGGATCTTTTCAGGGGACTCTTAGAAATGCCACAAGAAGGACCAGGTGCGGGAGTACCACTACATTCACCAGAATGGTCAGTTACCCATTCTCTAGCTTATTGCTAACAAAAATTGCTTGTAAGTCATTTTATTCTGTGCACTAAGGCTACACTAAATTTTAAATGCATTGAATAAACTGCAATTACTCAAATAGAAAACCACTTTCTTATACCATTTTCGAGTTTTCCAGAGGATATTGAAGTTTGCCAGATATTGATTGGATCGATTAACTCCTTTCATAAATTTATTTTACTCTAATATGCAAGTGGGCTTAGTTATCTGATGGCCAGTCCTCCTGTCTTCCTTTCCTGTAGATGCTATGGAGGCATCATGAATAGTTGTCACCATGCGGACTAGCCTCTTGTCTTTCCTTATGAGAAGAATCACTTCTCCCTTCCGTAAGAATGTCATTTCTCCCCTCTGTAGATTTTTAGATTTCTCCTTTAATTGGTTTGGTAGACCACAATTCTCTCTTATAGTCCCACAAACTCTGGTTTTATTTTTCAACAATATTTCAGATGTGGACACACTGTTGTAAAGATTGTCTGGTTAATATGGTGCCATGAACCAAGATTAGGTTGTAGGACTGATAATACTGTTTCTTGCAGTTTCTTTCCTTCACCCATGTAAATCTCAAGGTTGCATATATATTTGCAGTTTCGCTAACCATCCTGACCAAAATTCCATATTTTTCAAGTTTTCCAGGATTATAGGTTTTGAATCTGAGTCGTCTTCTCCACTTTATCATTGCCTCCTCAAGTGATAGCTCTTGTTTGGGTATATAGATCGATTGAAACTTTGGTAGAAAATAATCCAGAAGAGGTTTAACAATTTGAAATTCTGTCTGTAGGAAGTGGAGTTTCTGAGTTATCGGTAAAGTGAAGCAATGTCATTATTTATTTGAACCTTCGCCTCATCATAATCTTTGGAAAGATAAGTGTTTAAAGTAAGGGATCAGTTGACCAATATTCTTTCCAGTGTGACTTTCTTATTTGTCCCATCAAAATTATTAATCCAAGAAACTTCTTCATGTCACTGTTGGTTACATCAGTCCATTTTAAAGTCTTATCATACTTTTTATATGATTTTCTTATTCTGTTGGTGACACAAGTTTGTTTGAGAAGCGACCAACTCGAAAAAGTCATTACCAAAAATTAATTCTGTTATTTCACTAACACTTTGCGAGTTATTACATTCAGTAGTTACACCTGACACACCTGTAAGATCTTCTAATTTTCATGAAATGTTGTCTTCAATCCACTCTTCTGTAGAAGCAAAGGAGTATTCTCCAGCACTGTGAGTTTCATTTTCACTTGCCATATCAAAATCAATCACTAAGGTATTTTGTCTTTTTGTGGGTCGAATATTCACATCATCTAAATCAGGACTATATTCTGAAAAACTGTCATCTTCTGAGACACTAGTATATATGTCGCTCGGACAATCAGAGAAAGTATCTGCATAAAATACACTGAAAAATTCTTCTTCACTCAAAATTTTATGATGGTCATTTTTGAAAATTTTACGGTAATAAATTTGTGTTTATAATATACACAAGGTTGGAACAAAAACCTAACGGAGCAAAATATGAATGATAACAACATAAGTTGTATAATGAACCCATGATCAATTTTAAGCTCTAACAACTTCACAGGGTGATGTTAATTATATCACTCTCTGAAAACGTATTGATACGTCTCTGGTCAGTAACATTCGGGTAACAAAATACGTACTAATATGTCTTTGGGCAATAAATTGTTAAAAAACAACCTTAGGTTAAATCCCCAATTTAAAAAATTTTACTGATTCGTTAAATCCAGAAAGCTGGAACCACTGAAATAACTTCTCATTTTAATCATCGTGACACATGGCACAATGAACAACTTCTCATTTTAATGGTTATGGCACATGGAAAAACTTTGGAAAATGGTAGCTATTAAAGTATAAGCAGCATTATTACTTAGTTAAATTAAGCACATAAGAATATGTATTTGATGGACCAGCATATAAATCCAAACTCAATCCAAATCCCTACTAAAAAGGGGTTTAGGCAAATCACTTAATTTCTCTGAAGTACATTTTAAATATCTCAGATCCTGCATACCAACCCTCCTAAAAGTCTCTAAACATGGGTTTTGTTTCTTAGATGGTATCTTGGTGATACTTTGCAAGGAAGTCAGGCCCTCCACAAGTTAATAATAATGATAATAATAACAACAATGATAATAATAATAAAGTAATAATAGGTAACCATGTATTTAGTGTTTACTTTGTATGAGGTACTGTGCCAAGCCCTTTCTGTGTATTTACTTATTGAATCTTCCTCACAACAGCCCTATTAAGTGAGAACCAAAAAATCCGTTTTATACTTATGGGTATTGAGGCACAGAGAAGTTGTGATGTGGCCAGAATCACAGTGCTAAGAAGTGGTGGAGCTATGAGATCCTAAGGGCTCTCTTAAAGGATAAGAAACAAACCATATCAACGTGTGAAGAGGCAGACAGTTGACACAAGAACGCCTGGAATCATTTCTTTCTAACACTACTAAACATACACACATGTAGGAAAATGGCAAAAACACATAAATGTAGATAGACATGCAGAGGGCAAAGCCATAGAATGAAGAAGAAAACAACCTTAGGATTGACTTAGCTCTCTGGAGGGAAACGCTCCACAACTCTAGTGAGAAGCATTGTAGTTAAAACTATGCCTTTACCTACATATCAGGTCATATCTATGATTAGTTGATTACATTTGGCTTCACAGGAAATCAAGTTAGAAGCAGATTTTATAGTATGTGATTCCATGTGTCTCAAGCAAATGAAACCTAAAAGTTCCATTCGGGATCCACATGCTATAAGTTAAATCACAAATACCTGAATCCTTAAGTTTGCTGTGGAGTTGACCATTCAGTAACTAGGCAGAATGGATCAATAAGACTGACCTTTCTATATCTATGTCCAGGTGAGGGATTGTTAAATGGCTGATATCTGAAGGACCAATTTCAAAGGCACTTTCCTTTTGACTTTAGGAAGGAACAGCTAATTGGCCGGCCATGAAGAACTGAGGAGGCCGACCTATACCTCAAGTCTCTATGATGTCTTTTCAAGGTATGTAAAAAGCTTTGGCTCTACCTGAGTTCAAACTCAGGCTCTGCTACTTACCAGTTGAGGGGTCCTGGAAAATTACTTGCAGACATGGTCTTTCCCCATTTAGAATTTACATCCTAGGTGGTAGCTTCTTTAGCTTCCATCAGTCCACCAGAATAAAACTTCTAAATTTTTCTGGAGCAAATATTTGGGACTGACTGTGTTTCCAGACTTTAATGTACGTTCAAATCTATGTTAAGCTTGTTGAAATGCAGATTCTTATTCATTTGGCCTGCCTAGGACCTGAGATTCTGCTTTTTTAACAAGCTCCCGGGTGATATCAACATTGCTGGTCTGGAGACCACATTTTAAGAATTGAGGGTTTTAATGAAATGTAAGGGAAAATATCTGAGTTTCTGAAAATTCATCCAGCCAACAAAACTGTGTGACTAGTCCATAACTTGTTGTGGTTCTTTTAACATTGTAGGAGAGAAAAAACTTTCCATCTGCTCTCCTAGGTTCAATAGCTAGGTCTATAAAATAAATTTATAACAGGCAGATTAATAGCATTAAAGGTAAACAAATTTATTAATTTTTATTGTAACACACTGGGGCATCACAGAAAAAAAATGTGAACACCCCAAACAGCAGTGAGATCTGAGAGCTTATATACTGTCTTAATAGGGGAAGGTGGGAGACATAGGCAACCTAGGGGAGAGTAAATGAGTTTTTAGAATGATAAATGGGCTCTTAGAAGAATAGATGGGAGATATGATGATAGTTTGTGACAAAGTTTATCTGGGTTTGGAGTTGACATCTAGTGTCTTCCCAGGTGATAAGAGTCAATCCTTGGGAGGGGGTTTATGACAATTGAATTCCTTTTGGAGGATCTGTCTTTAGGCAGGTAAAGGGAAGTTCAGAGAAAGCTCTTGCCATTTTTCATGTGTTCAGCTCACAATAATATAACAAAGCGGCATATTTTGGGGTGGCATGTCCAGAACTCCTTCAACAGCCATACTAAATTCAAATGTTTGCTTCTCATTGTTGGAAGTTTTCCTCTGAAATGTTCTTGCTCCTTAATCATTAGGAGGCTTAGCTCTTCTTAGAGGGATTTATAACAACTCACATTCACATCTTCATTAATATTATGAGTACTGTATACTCAATGATTGGTTCTGGACTTTGAGAGGAATTACAATCCCAATAAAAGATTTCTTGGATCTTTTATCATGACAAAATGCTTGGACAAATAAAAATGAGAAAAATTGTAATTGTAAAATAACTAAAATCTCTAGATCTCATTGTAAAGCAATTAATAATGAATAGAGAAATGGTTACGTAAAATTCAAATGCTAATAATGATAAGTACTTAATCTACCATAAAGTAAAAGCCCAGCCAAAAAAAAGACCCATCTTGCACCAGAATACATGTTCAAAACTCAATATTTGCATGCCCAAGACTTGTTTGAGAAGGCAATTATGGTCTCACAAGTAAATCATAAGAATTTTTAAAATTTAGTAAATGCTGTATTTATGTGACAGACAAGAACCACTCTGAAGGAATTATTATGGTTTGGGAAATGATATGCAATTTCAAAATCATCTAAATCATTTCAATTGCCTGTATTTACATTTATATAATGGGTATTTATAATGGTGATTATTTTAGAACTTACCTTGTTTTCCTGGATCTCACATTGGTTTCTATGGGAACGAGAATGGCTCTAAAGAGGAGCATTTTAAGAACTCTTTTCACATTCAGTGACTGCTAACTGAACTGCAAATTCTGTTTACCTGTTAAATGGTTTTTAACTCTTAAATTTTAACACAGAAATAAAAGTTGGGCATTTAGCTTCATAAATCATTTTAAATAATAAAAACTGTTTTTATGAAACATCTGGCACATTGAAACATTTGAAAACAAAATAACTAGCTTTAGGAGCTAATAATCTGTTCACGTTATTAAATTCATTAGTGATTAATCCATATTAGCCTTATGCTTGCTCTTGGAAAATTGTGTAAAGAAAACTTCATCTGATATATTGTTGTAATACATTTTCTCTGTTATTTCTGTGTATTATGTGTGTGTATATATTTTTTCCTTATCTTTGAAAAAATCCCTTTAAAAAGCAGTGTAAAATGTTCTATGTTTAAAGTTTCCCATTACCAATGCCTCACCCATCCTCTGCTATTATCTACCCTCGTACTGTGTTGTACCTTTACTATGCTCTTACACCAGCTGGAACTTATTTTTACTATTTTTTGAAACAAGCTCATAAGTCTTCGAATTTCAATTTTTCTTTTTCTTGGAATAGATTCTTAGATCATAAAAAGCTCGATGTCTAACTTATGTATTACATTTGTGCAGTTTACTGTGTTTAATATTTCCCCACATTTCATGTTTTCCCATAAACTTTATTTTTTTAATTCCCTGGAGAAATGATAGTTCAGTATATTTTTATTTAAATCCCTCTCAAAGTAATTAAAAGCCACTAAAAATAAGAGAAGCTTATTTCAGAAGAGAGTGCTAAAACTAAATTTTTGTTATACCCAAACTGTAAAAGATACCAGTTGAAAGCACATGGCATCCCATAACCAGCTTATGTAATAGCTACTCTGGTTATTGTTGACATATAATCTGTGTCTTGAATCCAAAAGTACAAGTTGATGGCAGAATGCCAGACAGGGTGAAATAAGTGAGAGTGTTTTTTTGTTTTTTGGGTTTTTTTTGCGGTACGCGGGCCTCTCACTGTCGTGGCCTCTCCCGTTGTGGAGCACAGGCTCCGGACGCGCAGGCTCAGCGGCCATGGCTCACGGGCCCAGCCGCTCCTCGGCATGTGGGATCTTCCCGGACCGGGGCACGAACCCGTGTCCTCTGCATCGGCAGGCAGACTCTCACCCACTGTGCCACCAGGGAAGCCCCAGTGAGAGTGTTTTTTAATCTTTCCTGGATTGGTGGATTTCTGCTTGCTATCAGTGTGGCCTTGGTCAGGATTGCTAGAGACTAGTGAGAGTTCCAGAAGTGAAGCTACCAGCATGTTTGACCAGGAAACCATCATATAACTCACTGACTTGGTATAAACTCCAAGAAGTTGTTGTTTTCTTTCTTAAAAGTATTTTTCATTCAGATTTAATTTTATGAAATAAATTAAGGATTACTACATGTTGAAAGAGTGAAGACAAATAAATGGGAAACATATAACTAGATGTTTTGGGGAAATGATTAATTGATTGGCTCTTCTATCAATATTTTTTAAAAGTTGACTTTGAAGGGGAGCAGAAAACAAGCTGAAAAGTTAATCATCAGAAGAGAATATTTATCTTGAAAAGTATCTGAATCTGAAGGTAAGGAATATGATTGTCCATCAAGGCTACTCAAAATGAGGTCCATGGACCAGTGCCCATCTGAGACAAGATAAATACAGAAAATGAGTGTAAATTTGAAAATCTTAGAGCAGTTGACATTACTACTTCACCCAACCCTGTGATTTTGTATTTTACAAAACTCAGTCCATGGCATTTGGTGATTTAAAAAATTTTCGCTTTACTACAACTAGTTTGAGATGCATTGATCTAGCATAAATTACTGTAAACAAACAAACAAAAAGAATGCCATTTGAACTTCATAGTATTGAAAACAATTTAACCTGTGTGATTCTGTTTGAAAAACAGCTGAGAAATGAAAGGTTTTTATCCCTGAAAGATTTCTTTCTAGCCCTATAACCATATATTTACTTTCATTAAGATTACAGTAAAGGAGGCTGAAGCGGATATTCTCTCCTTTTGCAGATATAAAAAGAAAAGGGCAAAGGGCTTAAATGAGATATCCAACATTACACAATTATCATCAAAATTTTAAACTCAAGTGAAGAGCATTGCACAGAACTTATTCAATATTCTGGTGAATAAAAATACTCTAGTTGTTTATGACAGTGAATCGGATATATTTGCAATGTCACATGGTAGACGGCAGTGCTTTGTCTTCAGGTTTCAGAAGGAAAAGCATTATGTTACAGTGGTTCAATGGATGGTTAGTGAAAGTACACATACTAATAATCAAGATGAAGAGTTTGAAGGAATTCAATAAGCAAAAATAAAATTAAACAGAGAATATAGAAAGATTAAGGGAGGAACACATGTATAGTTTGGCTAGGAACAGGCAGAGCAGAAATGTAAGTCCACACTTCTCTGAAAGGTATAAAATCCCCAAAGAGAAAGGGCTTGCTACCTTGGACTACCAATAGGGAAAATAAAATGAAAATATGAAAGGGAAAGTTTAGACAAACAGTGAGAATTTTTGTTAATTGTTAAGAGTATTAGGTTAGTTGAGTAGGCTCCCAAAGGAATCTCTGAGGACATTTAAAACCTCATTGAACAAAGCCGTGGACACTGTATTGTGTAGAGCAAGACTTCAATGGCAAGGGGGATGGACTGGATCAACTGTGAGGTCTTTTCCAGCTCTAATTTCTACTATTCCATAGCTCTGGGAAGAATAGTTGCTAAATTGCTTGATTAACCCAGGAAAAAATAAAACTCAACACAAGAATAAAGCCCCAGACAAAACAGTGAAGTCAGCCAAAATTGAAACACACCCTTCCAAAGAGACAAAAAAAAAAGAACCTAAATCTTGCATCATACCCCAAGGTGGACAAATTTAGGCTTTGGCAACTTGCCCAGCAGAATAAGTTCCAGAGACAGGACCCTTCAGTGAGCAAGACCAACCAACAGGTTGGGAGAGTTCAACTTCTCAGACAGACTTGCAAAACCTCCCAGGTGACCTTAATACTAGAAAAAATTTAGTAAATTGAAAAGGGAGGGCTTCCCTGGTGGTGCAGTGGTTAAGACTCCGCCTGCCAGTGCAGGGGACCTGGGTTTGAGCCCTGGGCTGGGAAGATCCCACATGCCACGGAGTAACAAAACCCGTGCACCACAACTACTGAGCCTGCGCTCTAGAGCCCATGAGCCACAACTACTGAAGCCTGCGTGCCTAGAGCCCGTGCTCCACAACAAGAGAAGCCACT